GAATGTACAAATGCGCTTTACACAATTGATGTGTGTATGGGTTGTGATAAGAGTTGTATGAGTCCCTAATAAAATGATTTTTTTAAAAAAAGAAAAGAAAACTCTGCCTAGAGGAGGTTTTTTCCTGTTTTGGGTACCCCCTTGAGGCAGTTACATAATCTACTGTCAACTTGAGCAAAAGGGTGGAGTCTAGCCTGTCAAACAGGTCACAGCCAATTAAGCAGCAGTTCTCAACCTGTGGGTCATGACCCCTTTGGGGGCGTTGAATGACTCTTTCACAGGGGTCGCCCAATTCATAACAGTAGCAAAATTAGTTATGAAATGGCAACGAAAATAACTCTATGTGTGCTTTACACAATTGATGTATGTATGGATTATGATAAGAGTCGTATGAGCCCTTAATAAAATGATTTAAAAAAAAAAGAAAGAAAATAATTTTATGGTTTGGAGTCCCCACAGCATGAGGAACTGTATGAAAGGGCCGCGGCATTAGGAAAGTTAAGAACCACTGGCCTTCTCCGGAATTCTGGGGATTCCTGTCTTCCTCCCTGGAGGGAGGACACACTCTCTGCTTGACATTCCTGCTGACAAGCCACATGGAGACACCCTGATAGAACCAGAGCCCTGAGCTGGAGGAGCCCTGTGGAGACCCCTGCCAGCGCTGAGATGCTTACAACGCCACTGGATCCACAAGACTTCCACCCACTGGCCTGTGAGCTTCCTGCATGCGGCGTCCTCGCATGTGTTCCGTGAGTCTGTAGAGGAATGTACAGACTGGTATTGGGCTGATGGGCTCATGTCAGACTTACGGACTTGATCCGGCCTGGGCTGGGATCTTTCCTCAATACACAATTGCCCTTTTCTTAAAAAGCTCTTTCTTCCACACATATGAGTGTCACTGGATTTGTTTCTCTGGTCCACCCGGACCAGCACATCCTCATGCCCAGGGTGGTCAAGAGGAGGAGCTAACTCACTGACACCTGGCCGCAACACAGAAACCAGACTTTCAAACTGGCGTGACTCTTGTTTCTCCCCCGAGAGCCACGAGAGCCAAGGTAGCCGGGTGACTCCCTACCAGGCTTACCTTGCCCAACTGCCGAATGCAGCTTTTCCATGTCGAACTTAGTTTTCGATCTCCCTGGGGTGCTCAGCATCTTTTCCCAGACCGTGGTCACTTCTCTAAGGCAAGGAGTGATTTCTTCATAATCCAGCTTCAGGCGCTTGTTCAGCAGGTCGTGTTCAGAGGCTGGAAGCACACCGTTTCAGGGTTAGGGAGTAAACTCGGCCTGCCCGCCTTCCCTCAGCATTGCTGAGAACTCCCGCTCTTCACAGGGATGCCAATCAGTTCCCGACAGCAGTTGTCCCAATGAAAGCCACAGCTCCCACCTCACCCCAGAGGATCCCCAATTGTCCTTATCTCAGAAAATCAAACCAGGCGTGATTTCCCTTCTTCCTCTCCCCCACCGTCCTATGGACCTACTGCTCACATCCATCCTGTACCAGCTCAGCGCGGTCCATCTCCATCTGATAGCCTGTTGCCAATGAGTCAATTCCACCTCGAGGGACCCTACAGGGCAGGACGGAGCTGCCCCACGGGGTTTCCAGAGCTGTCATCTTTAAGGAATCGGATGGCCACCATGGACCTTTCCGGTAGCAGCATGCACTTTAAACCTGGCACCACCTGGGCCCCATCCACCCCTTTGTACTACTCATTTAACCATCAACATCTCAAGAGCTGGAGCTGTGTGCTAAAATTCCCCATGCCTGGTATGGTGGGAGTAACCACCTCTCGCCCCCACCCCCGCAAGGGCAGGTTCTCGAAGGCTCCATCCTTTTCTGGTATCAGGGTGCCTTCTGCCCAGTGGTCCTGTTTGCTTCCCGGAGCTAATTGATTCAGCCCATAAGCCCACTCTTTCTCAGCGACGCCGCCTCAAACACACAGCAGTGGTTATTGCTTCCTGACACCACTTACCTAACCCCAAAGTGGCATTAAGTATGCTACCTAAATGACCCAAGGGGTGTGTGTATGGGGGGGGGAAGGGGTATCTGCCAGAG